TAAAACATGGGAATTTTAATGCCGCTCTAATGCAAAACGTGCAAGTCATAAATGTGAAAACACAAAACCAGTTTGCTCATAGCTACCCAAATTTACATACACTTTTTACAGTCGTGGTCTCTTGTGGGTTTCTGGTGTATCTAATATTATGTTCAATGACGTCAGCAATTTGTAGACTTGTTCGAAGTTCGTGCAGATATGAACCAAACAAATACAACATTGTCAGAATTTCGCTGTCTCAAACCATGCAGATGAAACATACGAGTTAAAAATATTGAATGACACACCAAGACAAAACATCACATGATACTAAAGCTAAAGTCGTTTAAGGACAATTTTTCTCGTTATTTGTGAAGTCAATAACGCAATTCTGTGCAGACATCAATTACTATTACCGGTATATGAGAAACTCAGAAAATCAACGATTGGGTTATAATGTATAATATGTACAATACTTATACATAGAACTGATTTGGTTAAAAAGACCGGGAAATTCCTTTACAATGCTTTTACAGATGTGGATATTGTTCACCCTTGATGAATGAGCACTGTAATGTAACTTATTAGTATGTGTGGGACATAGAAAAACGATTGAAGTACAGTATATCGGTATATTTCATTGGCATCTAATGGAAATTGCATGTTTCCACTGCGCTATGGGGTGATTTATTCACTTTGGAATGTGTATCCTACCATGTCTATTTTTTTAACTATACACGTAACGTGTGTCAGACTTGTATTATGCATTCATTATTATTTTTGTTGTTAACTTTTTTTGTCTTCTGTTAGAAATGTGTTAATAAGTAATAATTTGGGGTGCCCTGATGCAGTCTATTATCGTGAAACTTTCTATTTGTGTATGCAGAATGGATGTGGGTATTATTTCTGAAAACAGATACTTGGGACCGACACAATAGCAGGGTTACCATAGCAATGTACACAAGTGTGCATTTCCATTTCAGTAACCTTGTATCTTATTTAATGAGATGCCGATTCACCGACATGGAAATCCAAAAATACGAATTAAATTATATTATTTTTCAGAACTAAGTAATCTATAGTATATTCTTTGTCATTTGATGAGGAAACTTCTCCCATGGTTTCGTATACTTTAGCAGTCACTCTACTAGTAGAGTGACAGGTCCAAAAAACAAAAGAACACAGCAATATAGCTGCAGCCATAGTTCATTATGGAGCCACTTAATCACACCGACCTCCATGTCAGATTACTAGAGTGAAAGTAGATGATCAATAGAAATATTGTCTACAATAAAGAGTGTGCAATATCAAAGCAGTACTTTTTTAATTCAAAGATATACGTTTATTTACACCAGGCTATATATACAAAAATAATTGACTATGTTAATACCATGCCATCAAAAATCATTTCCTGACCCAATTTAATTTATACTGTACAAATTTAAAACAACAACTTTTAATAACAAACTATCACTACATTTAAAGCGAGAGGGTCGTCACCTGCGCACGCACATGAATTGAGTCCCAAGCGATGTTAACAACACATGCTAAAAATGCAAAGGCTCTTGGGTAGACGCTTGTTTGTAAACAATGACATGCTATGGCCATCTGACGCATACACAGGTGACGACTCCCCTGCTTTAACAGGTAATCAATCTATTGAGAAAAAAATAATTTTTTGACTATTCCTAACTGCCAAATGTCCTGCGAACATGAACAATTCTGAAAGAATTTATTTCAGGTATCTGTTTAGAGCAACATACCGTACAAGTTGACAGTTTTCAGGAAAAAGTTATTTTTGTACAAAAAATGGCTACTAACCAATGTGTTTCTCAATTAGTTTCTCATGTACTGTGTTAATCTCATTGTTCCTTATAGAATAAAATATCATGAATTGTACAACAACATATCTAAGCAAAACTTGGCAAGAAAAATACTAACCGATGTGTTCCACAATTAATACATGTACTGTGTTAATCTCATTGTTCCTAATAGAATAAAATAACATGAATTGTATAAAAGTTCTCAAAAAATAATAGTACAACAACATATCTACACAAAATTTAGCAATAAAAATACTAACTGATGTGTTCCTCAATTAATACATGTACTGTGTTAATCTCATTGTTCCTTCTAGAATAAAATATCATGAATTGTATAAAAGTTCTCAAAAACTAATAGTACAACAATATATCCAAGGAAAAGAAAAATACAAGCCAATTGTAATTGTTCCTCAATTAATACTACATGTACTGCATTAATATTAATGTGCCTTATAAAATAATCTAAACAACAAGCAGCCTGTCGGCTGATATAGCTCCACTGTATACTTGTAAACTATAGTTTTACATATCTTTTTTTACCAAAAATGACCAAAATTTTTACTGAAAGTGAAAAAATAAAGTTGTCAACACGAAAAAGAAAAAAAAAAATCTGTCTGGTCCATGGTGCCTACATATAAAATACCAAAACAATTGGAATAGTCATTTCAATGAAGTCATTGAAAATAGCACTTTTACTAAAAAATATTCACTAAAATTAGAGAATTGAAGATATCCTCACAAAATGAACAAATTTGACTAAGGTCCACTCAAGGTGTCGACATTTAAAATATTCAAGCAATCTAGTACAAAATCTTATTTATATAAAATTGATGCAAAACTTACAAATGTACATAAAATCAAAGAAAGCTTAGAAAGAACTCCCGTGTATTAGAGACACAGTAAAAATTAATTCAAAATTACTTGTACTTGAGATATTGATGGAAAAGCTGGAAACTAATTATGCAAATCAAAAAATTAAAATTAACAGATCTGAGTGTAAAACTAATAAGGTCTGCGTAATGTAACAGACCATCTACTGGGGTATGTACCAAATTTCATGAAATGTGATGATTAGTACTTGAGATATCAGTGAAAAAGCTGAAAATTAAATAATTATGTAAATTAGGTCATTAATATGCACAATTATTCCCCCAAAACTAAACAGGTCTCTGCATAGTCCTAGAGGACCTATGTACAAAGTTTCATTGAAATGTGATACTGTAAAGGGGTTAATTATTCACTGGGTTTTAATTTTGCTTATTTCGCTGACTGGAAAATGCGCTAAATTAAAACCCAGTGAATATGTAAAAATTAGCATAAAACAAATTATCTAAATGATAAAACCGTGAATTTAAAACCCACTGATTATGCCTGAAATGGTAAATCAGCGAAATTTAAAACCAGTGAAAATTAGTCATTTTACAGTATTTAGTACTTTAGTACTAAATTAACTAATTATGCAAATTAGTTTATTAATATGCACAAATATTTATCCCAAAACAATCGATCTCTGCATAGTGCTTGAGTATCTATGATACCATGTTTCATTGAAATGTAATGCTTACTACTTGAAATATCAAAAGCTGAAAATTAATTGATTATGCAAGTTAGGTAATTAATATGTACTGATGTTACCCTAAAAACTACCAGGTCTGTGCAGTGTCTTATGACATAGGTACCAAGTTTCATTGAAATGTGATGATTAGTAGTTGAGATATGGAAAAGCCGAAAATTTACTAATCATTATGCAAATCAGGTAATTAATATGCACAGATTCTCACCCAAAACTAATCAAAACCTGGCATTAGTTTAGAGCATCTATGAACCAAGTTTCATCAAAATCCAATGATTGGTTGTTTAGATATCAGTGGAACAATCATGGAACAGCTAAAAATTAGCTAATTATCATGCAAATTAGGTAATTAATATGCATGAATTTCTACCAAAACCAAAATTTGCGCATTGGCCCAGAGCATCTATGCACTAAGTTTCATCAAAAACCGATGTATGGTTCTTGAGATATCAGTGGAACAGACGGACATACACATATACTAACTGCAAAGACTCCCATTGTGTGCTTCGCACATGGGTGTCAAAAATACATAAAATTGTAAATTATTGAACATTAAAATACGATACCAGCAAGTTGAGACACTACTTGTAAATTTATTCACTGTCAGGTATGTAGGGCTGACCTGCCCCTTCTAACTTACAAGTTACCATGGCAGTGACCTGAGGCCACAGTATCATGCAATCAGAGGTCAATTTAGTTTTGCTTTGTATCAAGTTGACAGCTTTTATTATATTTTAGAAATAACAAGGGAAAATGCAATATAAAAGAAACTGTAGATGTCAACAACACTGGAACAAGAATCACCAAGTGATGAAATGTGCTGCTCTAGTTCTCAACAATCCATACATTCCTTGTTTGTCAACAACCATATAAATCAACAAGAGATAACTTGGCTCCAGTCACATCTTTCACAATGAATTGGTTCACTTCCATAAATCTGACAACTAGAACAAATTTAAAGCAGTCATCAATGAAATAATTGATTTAATCAATTGAAAATAATATCTGATGTTCTAGTTTCAGACAATATTCACCTTTAACATCCATTCTTAAATGGCACTACAAATGTCTCCACCAGATCATTCCTCCTTATATTCTTTAATAATGTTTCCAACAATTCTGTGTTGTTAACGCTGATTTTGGTTTGTTCACGCAAAGATTGAAACACTTCAGATACAGTTTCCATTTTCTTTAAATCCCCCTTTGGTATTAGATCATAAACCACATTGCTCTTTCAATAATTTCAGGTCATCTGTAAAAAGTGACACAAGTCAATACAAGCATGGTAAATATCAGTGTCGATTCCCTTAAATCTAGTAATGTATGAAATGGCTAAATAAAATATACTTTATATGAAATGAGAATGATGTTTTATATTTGGCGGATATACTCACTATTTAGTAACATGATGAACATTTAAAGTTGAAACATAGAATTTTGATAAGCAAATGTAATTACAAATTTACCTATTTCCCTTGCTATATTGAAGAGCATTGCTTTGAATTCCGTTTTTCTTGAATCTTCTGTATTCGTTGACGAAGAGGCACCTTCATTTAAGAAATCTATAGTGACAATAATAAACATTCAAGCGAACAGAAACTTTGGCTCTTGGAACTTGAAAATGTTTATTGATATGACAGATTAGGATATTGAACTATGAAATGCTTTACAAATGAAGCATAAATCTAAACTAACTTTTATTAAACATGCCATCAAAATGATACAAACTGTCGTACAATCATTCCACAATTGTGATATATTTGCCCTACACTAAAAGGAGTCATACCAACATGAACTAGAGAAAGAAAGTGACCCAAAAAACATTCTGGAATTTCATCAACAAAATATAAAGAAAATTCAAAATGTTTCAGATCCCATATCAGTAAGAAAACACAAAACAACAGATCAATTTTTTGCACTCCATACTATGACCAAGAATTGTTTTATTGATCTGAGAAAATGTTTTGATGCCTTATGGAATACAGGTTTATTATATAAACTCCAACAAAAAAACATGAAAGAAAATATATGCAATATCATATCATCAAAGAGAGTTAAGGAGTGTATGTACAAATAAAAAATGGGACAGCACAGATACTGACAAATTCAACCTATGTTTCTGTAGACACTTACTGAATGTAAGTAATACTGTCAGTAACATTCGTGTATTATGTACACTGGACATCTTCCAATAATATGACATATACCTATAATAAACACCTATTATCACTTTTCATGAAAAATGTTTATTGCATTATATTATTTTAAACAGTGTTTCAATTCGCATATTCACCTTTTAATTTACGTTTAAACTCTTGTGCTAATTCTGGATCTGTTTCTTCAAGAAATTCTTGCAGAACTTTCAACTTCTTGTCACAGTCAGCCTCCTTCATAGTTTTCCATGAGTTCAATATATGACATGTTGGACTTCCTTTAACTTTATGCAAGTTCCTTTCGTGTACACCAAGTTTATGTAAAAGCTGCCTCCATCTATCGTTTTTGTCAAGCGATGTACAAATTGCAACTTCAAGAAAAAATTTTCGAGATGGTGCAATAGATTTCTCCTAGCAGGTGAAAATATTCATTTTGTTTAAGTATTAATGGCCAATTGAGATTGAAAATGAAGAAAAGAAAAACATTATATACCGGTATTTTTAGTCATGTATCCAAATATTATTACTATATGTGACAGACATATCAAGTCAGTGGAAGATTTAATATATATATAGTTCCATCACTTATTGTCATGATCCGTTATTGCATCACATATGATAATTGTGGTGCCACTCACATCATCAAAATTTTCATATACAGTAAATTTTACAGACTCCCCTTCTTCTTGCTGTATTGTAACATCACATATAAATTTTCGGTTCGTACTTGTATTTGAATTTTCACATACAAACTCTACATAGTCAGATCCTGTTTCCAAAACTTTTTGGCAGTTTAATTCCAATGTCTGTAAAGAAATGTACATTTGACCATTTGTCAATATTCAATATGAAATATAATTATGGGTATAATTGTTAGGCAAATCATATGAAACCAAATATTACTAATTCACATCCCCAAGATGTATTGCCAATATAATAATATGCCAATTATGGACTAACATGACAATAACATGATAAATACCTTGGAATCACGTTCCTCAGATAAAATTAACCAACCATCATGGGTTTTACATGTCACATGTGCATCATCCGTGTTACCATTATGTAGAGTGATTTTTTTTGAATGTGCCACTCGTCGTTCTGATAATGATGTCTCCTTTGAGTTGCATTGCTACAAATAAATGATTAAAATAATTCATTTGCATGATTACACCAAAATAAGTATCTAGTAAATCGGTTTTCAAAAAATAACGAATAAGCATTATTGTAGTATAATTATTTTGTGACCCACTTTGTCTAATTTAAATAACTAGTGGTAGGAATTTGATTGACGACATGAACTATATTATAGGTCCTTACCCAGTCGATGCCAAGAGGTGTGCCATGTATTCGTAATTTCACAACGTCTCTACATTTCTGAAGAAATAAATGCAGTTCAATACAATCTTGTGTCTTTCCGGTAAACCAACCACTAAACAAACTAATAAACCAAACAACAAACCAAACAACAAGCCAAATACTAAGTAAAACACTAAGCCAAATACCAAGCCAACTACTAAGCCAACTACTAAGCCAACTACTAAACCAACTACTAAACCATTCTTCATATGGACGTGTTGTAACAACAAGCCAAACACCAAATAAAACACTAAGATTAAACCATTCACCATCTGAACGTGTTGTAACAACATGCCAAATACCAAATAAAACACTAAGCCAATCACCAAACCATTTTCTATCTGTACGTGCTGTAATTTTAACTCCTCTGAAATCGCATGTGATTAGTGTAATATTGTTTTGATCTATTAATGTTGAAAAATCGTGTTGATCTTTCACCCAGACAGGTTTTTGATCAATTTCAGTAGATGTAAAACAAAAATTTAACGACTTTACATCCACTCCCGTCCCTGGCTGACAAGTCATACTTAAATAAACACATTTCTCAAATTGGTAACCATTCGGACCGCAAAATATAGTAGGGGTAACAGCAATTTCATTTGATTCTAATTGAGGCTGATATTCATTTTCATAAGTGACAAACATATATATAGGCTGACGATGTCCTTCTTTTATAGCCCCTGGAGGAATGCACAGTTTTGCTCCAGTTTGCGGTAAAACCAAACAACCACCAGAAGAATCAAACACTCCAGCAACATATTGCCCGGTCAAGGATTCATCAATAAGATATGGACAAATAGGTTCCTTTGCTGCACTTGACTCTTGTATGCTTCCTATAAAAATATTGAGTAAGCAATAAATAAAATAAATATTCCAAATGACTTCAACGGTGTTATATATTAATTGCATACAATAAATAACTAAAATTTTTGAGCAATTAATATGCAAATTATGTAATTAATATACACGGATTTTAACCGAAAGCTAATCAGGTCTGAGCATTTCCCCAGAGCATTTATGTACCAAGTTTTATTGAAATCCGATTATTGGTTCTTGAGGTATCAGTGGAACGCACACCATTCATGCATATCTTACAGTCATTGTAATGACACACATTGGATTAACTTTTTACATAGTTGAATTAACTTTTAATATAGTTGCGATATGAACTCTATTAAAACGCGTTCCCTACCTAGGTTGTGTTTTAATTAAGTTTAATTAAATAAAATTACAATGCAATACAATGTAGAATTGCGTTTTAATTAAGTTTATATAAATAAAAGTTGAATATCCCGTTACTAAACATAGAAATGTGGCGAAGCTTAGATTTAGTATTAGGGGGAAGGTATGGTATATTTATATTAATATCAATATAAACTGAACCATACCTTCACCCGATACTAAACCTAAGCTTCACAAACTTGATTTAAAGTCGATTAAATATTAATATAAATTATGAAAATATTCAGGGGGTGTCACAATGTAGGGCCTCGCGTCACTTTGTGGGTGTGCGTCCATGGATTTGGCGTCACTTTGATAGGAAGACATGCCCATACACACACCCATGCACAAACCGCTAAGACTCCCATTGTGTGCTTTGCTCAAGGGAGTCAAAAACAACGTGAAGCAGGATATAGATAGATAAATAATTAAAGTTACTCATTTCCCACATTCTTAATACAAGTGTATTTTTTCTTTACTTTCAAGCTAAGCAAATGCGCCCAATTACGCTTTTGTTGGTTCTATGTTTTTATTCAGAGACATAGATAGGTAAAACTAATCCTGTCTGAGGAACATTACCAACAATGTTTCCACAAAGATATACCAAACTTAACTGCTATTAGCTCATAGTAAATTAAAGTTAGAGAAAGATTAACAATTTACTCGAGTTGTCATATCAACAAGAATTGTTAATGTCAATGGCAATGCTGACGATAATACACGTCTACTTTGATTAAATGTGTTGTGTAATTATTGTTTTCAGTATAACATTATATTCACATTTTTATAAAAAACATGGTGAAACTTACACTGCCTGTGCATTTTATTTTTGATAAAGGCAATAGATGAAATCAATCTTTGAACAAAATAAAAATTGTAGTATTCGTGAAGTCACGTGGGACCTCTCCAAATTCACAACTTTTTGTATCTCACTTTCATTTAATTTTTTGTTATTTATTCATTTTTCTCATTCTTAAGAATATTTTAATTTAGCCACATGCTCAACATTTGTTTATTTTCATTGTTTAATGCATTCACCTGGAGTTGCCATATCGTCCGACCCAATCGTCTCATTGTTTAGTCTTCTCAACGACAGAGGTAAATCGTTCCATGGGTTGTTGTCCAGCAACAGGCACATCCGTTGAGAAAGTAATTCAAAGTAATGTGGAATTGTTGTGAGATTGTTGTGAGATAAG